AGTACCCCTCAGCAGCCTCTTGAAGAGATTAAAAATCTTAACAAGCCAAGTCGGTCTTTGCCTCTGATGACTAATTGCTGACAGGGTGCATGGTGCCTCACCGCTCATTGAGAGACACTTTGGTGGTGCTTTTCAGCACTACTTTTTGGGATGCAGCAGCACTCATTTTAAGAGATTTGATTGTAGATTCCTGGGAACAAGAGAATAAAAAAAGCATGTGTTAGTCTTTAAGATTTACGATAGTCTAGACTAAGAAAGCAGGAATATCACATACAGTTAACATAGGTTTATGATTCCAAGGACCTATTTACTAATAAAAAATAATAATAAAAAATCATTTAAAAACTGTGCTAATATGGAATTGGGTCTCTGGCCTCATTAGTAGGAGTGTGTTTGCAATGAATATAAAGGAACAATAAGCTGTGGGTCAGAAAAAAGATGCAATACTGATGATAAGAAGAGAAGAGTTGTTTTTTTTTTGTTTTCTTTCGTTTATTAAGTGTAAAGGATTTAGTTTCGCCTGGTTTAATTTAATTTAAAAAATCTTTAAGGAACCTTTTGCTATCTGATTACTAATCAATTAATTGAAAAAATAATAGACAGATTAATCAATTTGCGAAATAATCGTTAGCTGCAGCCCTAATTACTGGGGGAAAGGATTGCGAAACAATGAATGTCACAATAGGAGGTCACGATATTATAGTATTTCTATATGTGCCGATATTTTACCCAGCTGTCAAAATTAAATGTAAACGTAAAAAAGCAAGTGTCTAATATGTTCATCAGAATCCATGTTGTTTGGCCATTGAGTTGGTCCACGTCTTCCACTGTAACTGCATCAAACTACAGATATGGCGCCGCATCGCACAGCCGACACAGCCCTATCTACCAGAATGGCTCTGCAGAGGGTAGGCTTGTCCCGATCCAATCCACGTATCGGATCGGGACGCCAATATTGGCAAAAAAATGCGTATCGGCAAAGCATGTAAAATGCCGATCCAGTTTTTTTTTTTTTTTAAATCCGGTCCGTATTTTCCAGTTCGCCGATTGAAACGATCCATTCCACTATTTTGGGCCAGTGTTCCCCTGTTTTGCATTTTTATTAAAACTTACAGTAATACTTGCACCTTTAACTGTTTACGGTTTTACTGCTCACTGTGCAATTTCAGATTGCTATTCATAATTTTGTCCAGTTTGTGTTTATCTCTTAATAAAAAGGTAAGTTTGTTGTTACCAAGCATTGTGATTTATTCAATCTCACCTAATTTAGCTGGCTAGATGTTATCAAGAGTACTAAAACCCTTTTCAACATGAGTCTTACAACTAAGGCTAAATACTTTAACTTAAACTTAAATACATGCTCGGATAGGCTGGTATCGGCCAGTATCGGTATCGGATCGGAAGTCCAAAAACCTGGATCGGGACATCTCTAGCAGAGGGAACCATTTTCCATCATTGTTTTACATACATTTTCTTTTGATTGATATTCAGAACTGAAAGATCGATATTATATCAGGCAGCCGAAAAATTACAATATATTGTCAAATTGATCCCCCCCACCCCTAATATATCCAAACCATTCCTATTTGTTAAGAACTTAGAAACAGCCATAGTGCTGTACAAAAGAAGTAAAAACATAAAACAGTACAGATAAAAAACGAAACGGCTAAAACGTGTAAAATAACGTTCACACAATCAAATAAATAAAAGAAATTTGAAAGTGTGACATCAGGGCTGCAACTAAAGATTATTTTGCAAATAGATAAATCAACTGGTTAATCTTCCAATTAATTGATAATCGGTTAGCCAAAGACTTTTTACAAAATTAAATCAGGATAAACTCAAACATGTACATATACACTATATTGCCAAAAGTATTTGCTCACCCATCCAAATTATTGGAATCAGGTGTTCCAATCACTTCCATGGCCACAGGTGTATAAATTCAAGCACCTAGGCATGCAGACTGTTTTTACAAACATTTGTGAAAGAATGGGTCGCTCTCAGGAGCTCAGTGAATTCCAGCGTGGAACTGTGATAGGATGCCACCTGTGCAACAAATCCAGTCGTGAAATTTCCTCGCTCCTAAATATTCCACAGTCAACTGTCAGCTGTATTATAAGAAAATGGAAGTGTTTGGGAACGACAGCAACTCAGCCACGAAGAGGTAGGCCACGTAAACTGACGGAGCGGGGTCAGCGGATGCTGACGCGCATAGTGCGAAGAGGTCGCCAACTTTCTGCAGAGTCAATCACTACAGACCTCCAAACTTCATGTGGCCTTCAGATTAGCTCAAGAACAGTGCGCAGAGAGCTTCATGGAATGGGTTTCCATGGTCGAGCAGCTGCATCCAAGCCATACATCACCAAGTGCAATGCAAAGCGTCGGATGCGGTGGTGTAAAGCACGCCGCCACTGGACTCTAGAGCAGTGGAGACGCGTTCTCTGGAGTGACGAATCGCGCTTCTCCATCTGGCAATCTGATGGACGGGTCTGGGTTTGGCGGTTGCCAGGAGAACGGTACTTGTCTGACTGCATTGTGCCAAGTGTAAAGTTTGGTGGAGGGGGGATTATGGTGTGGGGTTGTTTTTCAGGAGCTGGGCTTGGCCCCTTAGTTCCAGTGAAAGGAACTCTGAATGCTTCAGCATACCAAGACATTTTGGACAATTCCATGCTCCCAACTTTGTGGGAACAGTTTGGAGCTGGCCCCTTCCTCTTCCAACATGACTGTGCACCAGTGCACAAAGCAAGGTCCATAAAGACATGGATGACAGAGTCTGGTGTGGATGAACTTGACTGGCCTGCACAGAGTCCTGACCTCAACCCGATAGAACACCTTTGGGATGAATTAGAGCGGAGACTGAGAGCCAGGCCTTCTCCTCCAACATCAGTGTGCGACCTCACAAATGCGCTTCTGGAAGAATGGTCAAAAATTCCCATAAACACACTCCTAAACCTTGTGGACAGCCTTCCCAGAAGAGTTGAAGCTGTTCTAGCTGCAAAGGGTGGACCGACGTCATATTGAACCCTATGGATTAGGAACGGGATGTCACTTAAGCTCATATGTGAGTCAAGGCAGGTGAGCAAATACTTTTGGCAATATAGTGTATATATATATATTTTGTTTTTTTTTTGTTTTTTTTCCTTTCTTCCAATTTTGGTATAATTGCCACCTAACAGAGCTAAAAGCATGTTTTAGAGTCTCTATACTCCAATTAACAGCTGATTACTACATTTGTTGATAATTATTTTATTAATTTATTAATTGTTTTAGTCCTAAATTTATATATATATATATATATATATATATATACACACACATGTGTTGTGCTAAACTATTTTAAAATATCCCAGTGCTATGTCAGACCTTGATATTAATTAAGACTATTTTTGGCATCATCACTGTGCCACATGGGGGTGGAAGACAGGTCCTGCAAACAGCCCTCCTTTAGCACCTTTTGCTGTTCGCTCAGGAAAAAAACTAATCAGTAACAAAATCAAAAACCAAATCAAAACCAAATGAACAGCATCTTTCCCAAAGCAGTGAAGAGAATCCCCTCCATGCTGTCAGAGACTAAACCCCCCACTGCTGAAAATCAAAGAAACCTTCAGCTAATTTCAGACAAAGCTGCACTTTATATAAATACTACTTTTCATGTTTAACATTTAGCATTCTCCTTCATGCGCACTTGTTTTAAATGATGTCTGCTTTATATGTGTGCATCTGAGGTCAGTATGAGGAACATTTTGTGGACATAATGAGAATAAAAACCTGCTCCAGTTGCTGCTGCTCAGAGTGGCCTGACCATTTAGGGGACAACAACTTTTTCATTTGTTTTCCTTGGTAACAAAAAGCTACATTCAATACCTGCATTTTCCGTCCACCTGTGTTTTCTCTCACTAATATTTTAAATGTGCATTTTTTCCCCAGTTAAAAACATTTTTGATTATCTATATATTTTAGGTTTTTTCAGCTCCTACTGGAAGTTTCACCCAGACTCCAGGCTGCCTCTCTGGGCCTGTTCAGTAGAGTCAACCCGTTAACGACCGAACCGGGACTTTTCTAAAGAAAACGGACTATTTTTTTCTTTAGCAAATACTTTCTACTATAAATGTTAAATTTATTCTGAACTTGTGGAACAAATTTAGTATCTCTGGGTACTCGTTGGGATTTCCATGCTTCAATGTTTTAAACAATTTTTTAAATCGATGAATGAAATTAAAAGTAATGAAATACTATTTTCATTATTTCAGCAATAGCACAGTGTTTAGTTTTATACTTACTGTTGATGCTGGTTCTGTGGAGAAAGGACTGAGATCTGGGGCGGTTAGCTTTAGCAGCTAGCTCCTCCTGCTAGCCCTCCTTTGGGTGTCCTTCTGATTTTCAGTTTGAAAGAAAGAATGAAAGAATCTTTTCCCTTTCAGTTGGCAAAGAAAGTAAAAACGGAATTGAATAACCTGTGAGCTAACGAAAAAAAAAAAACAACCACCCCTAAATAATCCCGTCCCGTTTGCGTCCAGCCACCTATGTGGCTAAAATGGTGCTGCTCGGAGAGCTCGGGGAGGAAAATGGTGAGAATGTTGTGTTCAATGTCAGCAGTAAATTGGAAACCCCAAAGATTCAAGTCAGTCCCGATCTCACTTCGGACGTTTTAATCCGTCTGTTAACAAAACATCTCGTAACCAGGTTTATGTGTGTTATTATATTCATAACATCAAAAAACATATGCTTGTTAAAATGTTATGGAGGTTAAAATGCATTTAATTTGTCAGATATTAAACAATTATTGAGATTTAGGCCAAAAAAAATAAATAAATAAATATAATATAGCATTGCTCATAAAGCGATAATTTAATGTGTGGACGTTGGTTCTAATAAGGCTGACGCCTTAATTTTGAAGGCATTTAATTTCAGTTCATATGTGAACCTTGAAACTTTAATTCCCGAACTGTCTTCGAACGTAGCATTGGCAATCCTCTTAGTAGGGTCACAGTCACGTGGTTTCCTGTCTGTGTTTTTTTGTTTTTTTCCTGCTTCCTCAGCGGAATGGCTGCCGTCGGAGTGGTTGAATCTTCCGCCGGTTCCGATCCTGTAGGAGAAGGACTGTTGGAGCTGTTGACACCAGCGGTCCAGCAGCTGGATGTGCACGTGCACTCGGTCAGGTAAACTAGATCATGGCTCAGAACCTGAACAGCTGAACTGGCTCATTGTCACGTGATATTCCCATTTCAAAAACAACCCCTCAGCTCTGCAGTGCATCATTAGACCTTTTATTTCCTTACCTAATTATTTTATTTATTTATTTTTTTTTTGCAGAGAAAGTCAGGTGGAATTAAGAGAGCATATAGACAACCTGGCCACAGGTAATCTCTTTGTGTTTGTTTTCATAAAAAAATATTAATATTTATATTGTTTAGAAAAAATGAAACATTGCTGTGTAATGATTGTATTTTGTGTGTTTTACAGAGTTAATAAGGATAAATGAACACCAGAAGGTTGTATTAGACCTGGATCCTTATGTGAAGAAACTACTTAATGCAAGACGTAGAGTAGTGCTGGTCAACAATATTCTACAAAATGCTCAGGTTAGTATCCAGACTTTGCCTTCGACTTCCTTTAACCTCACCCACACACAACAAAGAGGATCAACAGGGATGATTAAAACCATAATAAACCAATGATTATCAAAACCAGGCACCACAATTGTTACCTGCTCTGCTTTGAACAATTAACTTGAAGGAGCCAATTAACTGACAGCCATGATGGTGAACTTAGGGGTGAATCTGGAGTACCCATAGAGAACCTGTGCATGGAACCTGCATGGAGAAAGACAATGCTGGGATTAGAAACCTTTACTTATTGCTGAAAGCGGTGTCATTTTTGACAGCCATCTTTGATTTAGCCATATTCAGGACGAAGACTATTATTAGTTTTAGTTACATTTAGTCATTACGATATTTGGTACTTTTAGTCGGTTTTAGGCAACTATAATCTAAGGTTTTAGTCAGTTTTATGTTGCAAAAACATTTTAACCTTTACACTTTACAATATTAACTAGATTCTTTACCAGACTTACAGCTCTAGCCTAGATACTACAATAGCTGGGTATAGAATGCTGCTGTGCAGTTTATCATTGCTGTTGGGCGGAAAATTGATTTATAGAATTCAAATAAAGTTTTTTTTATGAATTAATGCCCTATTTTATAAAAAAAAAAAGTCTCACAAAAGCTGTGAAAATAGCAGATCTAGTTCAACACATCATATTGGTTAATATAGCAAAAAGACAAGCGGACAAAATGTACAATAAAGGAATCATTTTAAACATACAACCTTTCCATCCCGCAAATACTTCCTGATCTACTATAAATTATGCGTTACACATTGAACAACACAATGTTCATTGCTCCAAAAAAGTAAAGAACAAAAACTCTCTTCTTTCAATGAGCTGGTGAAGATTCTCAGTCATCAAGGTCAGAGTCATTCAATAAAATAAAAAAATAAAAAACATGCTCTGGACTTTGTTTCCAAGTTTGAAGATGTTTCTCTTCCCATCCAGGAAGCTTTTTCAATTCAAAATGTCAGAAAGAGCGTTGAGTTCCAGGCTTTATACAATAGCTTAGAAAACATGCTAATTGTTTGTTCCACCACATTTAAATAAAAAAAAGCTGAAAAAGCACCAAAGTCCAGTGGATTTTTTTTTTTTTACTTTTTTGGAACATCTGCTTTGGCAATTTTTGCTTTATTTCTTCAATTTACCTCTTGATTACTGCTGGTCAGTACGGAAGAGGATTAGGGCCACTGCAAAAAAAAAAAAGTTAACTGATTTTTAAATTTTATTTCAGTTTAACATATTTTTCTCAGAATTCTGAGATTAAAGTCAGAATTCTGACTTTTTTCCTATGTTAAACTGAAATAAAATGTAAAAATCAGTGAACTTTTTTTTTTTCAGTGGCCCTAATCCTCTTCCATAGGTCAGGGGTCAAAGTAGATTTAAATTCACAGGGTTATGATATAATAAAAAATACACAGAGAACCTCCATAATTACCTTGTGATTTCATGGCAATCCAGACCTAAACTGAATGAATATGCTAACTAGGAAACAGAGGAAATGTTTTAATGACAATACAATTAAAGATTTAGATTATATTTAAATAGATAGAAACGGGAAAAATGAGAGAGAAATATACAAAGATCGATGTACTTTTTTTCCTGGCTCTTTAGCCAAAAATAAACAGAATGCAATGAAATATTTTATTTGGATATAACCTTTGGTAGAAATGAAAGAATAAGAAATAAAATCTTAATAGTTTTACAAAGGGATTTTAAAAGGGAATTATCAGCCACATAGTTTATTAAGCAGCGAGAGCAGGTAGAGCCAGACTGCTGAGAGCGAACCATCAAAGCGCAGACTCTGAGCTAAGCTGCACATTCAAGCATTTCTGCAGAAGCTCAGCTGGAAAATCAGAGTTTGCAGAACCGGATGATTCTGGGTCATTTTCCCCCCTGCTGCTGCTGCCATGGTCCATCTGTGCTCATGCAGAATGTGCAGCGCTGCGCGGCGGGTGGGCTGTGTTGTCAAACAGGGCGCAGCAGCGCGGCTAATGCTGCTTAGCTTGTCTAACAGATTACAGCACAATGCTGCGTTTTAAATCTCTGACCCACTTCTTCTTTTCGTTCTCAAGTATCCATGTTTAGCTCGTCAGTTTTATTGTTCTGTTCAGTTTATCGTCATGAAAAAAAAGGAGCTTCAACGAAATAATCTCATCACTGTTGATAAAAACAACACTGGCTTGAAGGCAACATTGCAGCCCCTGTTGCGCCTCAGGTCTATTACACAGATCTATGCAACTGTGGACCACAGACTGTTTGCACTGAGGTTTTAATAGGTGTTTCCACCAGTTCATCACAAAGGATGATAAAAGTGACAGAGTAAATAAGCGCAAAATGAGTACCGTAAATTCCAGACTATAGAGCGCACCTGATTACAAGCCGCACGCTCTAATTTTAGAAAGAAAATAAATTTTGTACTTCTATAAGCCGCACTGGATTTTAAGCCGCAGGTTTCCCACGTTGTATGAGATATTTACAAATAAAGATATTACACGTGAGCATTTTTTTTAACGTTTGATTTAATCTATATGATAAAACAAACAAATATGGTACATATTATGAATGCTTTTTTTTTTTAAACTACCTGTAACACATTTAAATATACGTACACTATATTGCCAAAAGTATTTGCTCACCTGCCTTGACTCACATATGAGCTTAAGTGACATCCCGTTCCTAATCCATAGGGTTCAATATGACGTCGGTCCACCCTTTGCAGCTAGAACAGCTTCAACTCTTCTGGGAAGGCTGTCCACAAGGTTTAGGAGTGTGTTTATGGGAATTTTTGACCATTCTTCCAGAAGCGCATTTGTGAGGTCGCACACTGATGTTGGACGAGAAGGCCTGGCTCTCAGTCTCCGCTCTAATTCATCCCAAAGGTGTTCTATCGGGTTGAGGTCAGGACTCTGTGCAGGCCAGTCAAGTTCATCCACACCAGACTCTGTCATCCATGTCTTTATGGACCTTGCTTTGTGCACTGGTGCACAGTCATGTTGGAAGAGGAAGGGGCCAGCTCCAAACTGTTCCCACAAAGTTGGGAGCATGGAATTGTCCAAAATGTCTTGGTATGCTGAAGCATTCAGAGTTCCTTTCACTGGAACTAAGGGGCCAAGCCCAGCTCCTGAAAAACAACCTCACACCATAATCCCCCCTCCACCAAACTTTACACTTGGCACAATGCAGTCAGACAAGTACCGTTCTCCTGGCAACCGCCAAACCCAGACCCGTCCATCAGATTGCCAGATGGAGAAGCGCGATTCGTCACTCCAGAGAACGCGTCTCCACTGCTCTAGAGTCCAGTGGCGGCGTGCTTTACACCACCGCATCCGACGCTTTGCATTGCACTTGGTGATGTATGGCTTGGATGCAGCTGCTCGACCATGGAAACCCATTCCATGAAGCTCTCTGCGCACTGTTCTTGAGCTAATCTGAAGGCCACATGAAGTTTGGAGGTCTGTAGTGATTGACTCTGCAGAAAGTTGGCGACCTCTTCGCACTATGCGCGTCAGCATCCGCTGACCCCGCTCCGTCAGTTTACGTGGCCTACCACTTCGTGGCTGAGTTGCTGTCGTTCCCAAACACTTCCATTTTCTTATAATACAGCTGACAGTTGACTGTGGAATATTTAGGAGCGAGGAAATTTCACGACTGGATTTGTTGCACAGGTGGCATCCTATCACAGTTCCACGCTGGAATTCACTGAGCTCCTGAGAGCGACCCATTCTTTCACAAATGTTTGTAAAAACAGTCTGCATGCCTAGGTGCTTGAATTTATACACCTGTGGCCATGGAAGTGATTGGAACACCTGATTCCAATAATTTGGATGGGTGAGCAAATACTTTTGGCAATATAGTGTATGTGTCGGTAACACGCAAATAACGCTGCATATACCGGTACTTTTAATTGAACAATGCACAGAACATTGCAGCCGACCAGGAAAAGTCATTAATCGCTTTCTTCTTCCTCCTGCGAACTAAAACCCTCAAAGTCCTCTTCCTCGGTGTCTGAATGGAACAGCTTCAGGATGCCGTCACTGACTTCAGTCTCATCCTTGTCGCTGTCACCTGAGCACTCGCGCTCCTCTTCATCCCGCTGCAGCCCAGCCTTCCCAAACCCACCGTTGATGCTGGATGTTTTCACGCGGCGCCATGAAAAAAACATGTATTAGCCGCTTATAGTCTGGAATTTACGGTTAGTTACAATAATACTGTGAAAAAGATTTTTTTTTTAAATGAACATACTCTGCTCCTTTGTTGCTCCCAAATTACATTTAATGCATTTTGTTGGTTGGCTTTAATTTGCTTACCGTTATTCATAGACGACAGTGGCGTCGGTGCAGGAGTTTGCCCTGCAGTCAGAGGGTTCTTTACGAGCTCCTGCTATTCAGTGTCGTTGTGTCCTTGGGCAAGACACTTCACCTGCATTGCCTGCTGATGGTGGTCAGAGGGCCCGGTGGGGCCATTGTACGGCCGTCCTGCTTCTGTCAGTGAGCCCCAGGGCAGCTGTAGTTTTGCCACCATCAGTGTGCGAGTGTGTGCCTGAATGGGTGAATGAATGTAGTGTAAAGTAAAATTAAAGCTACGTGAGTAGAGACCATTTAACATTTGGTAAATGGCATGTACTTATATAGCGCCTTTTTTCAAGTCAGGTAACTTGACCAAAGCGCTTTACACTACATTCATTCACCAATTCACGCACACACTCACACTTTTATATAGGGATGCACGATATAATCGGCCCCCTATCGGTATCGGCCTTAAAACTAAATATCGGACATCGGCCACCCCACCGATATTTAACCCGATATTTGATCAGCTTCTGAGTTTCTAAAGTCTAAAAAAAAAAAAAAAAAAAAACTACTTCTTCTTCTTCCTCAAAAACTTCTTTTTTACAGACTTAAAAACTTCTATAGACGAGGGAAAAAATATTGATACATTAAAATATCCCAATATCTTCCTATGCTGATATATTGCCATTTAAAAACACCATATCAATCTCTTTTACTAATGAAATATTGCTATATGTCATCGTTATGCTACGAAATCCCCCGAAAATTCACGAAATTTTGGCATATTTTTATATGTTGATATATTGACGCGGTATCGATCTATTTTACTAACAAAATCTCACAAGAATTTGCAAAATATCACGAGAGTTTGTAACAGAACGATGAAATTTGAAAGTAAAATAGATCGATACCGCGTTTTTAAAAATCAATTTGATATCAGCATATGAAAATATATTTGAGTATATTATTTTTCAAAGTGTCAGAAATGGATAACAAAACTGCTATTTTCAATGACTACTTATCTTTGTCCAGCTTTAACATCGGTATCGATATCGGTTATCGGCTACATGAGTTTTAAAATATCGGCATATCGGATATCGGCCAAAATCCCAATATCGTGCATCCCAACTTTTATATTATTATATAAAAATATTGACTTCTTAATCTTTAACTGACAATCTGGGCAACATAAATTCTAAATTTGAAGCACAATTATTAAATAATATCACCAAACTACATGGATTTTCCTTACTCCTGAATTGAGAAGCCTTTGAGGTAAACAGTTGAACATTTCAAAAACAAAACAAAAAAAATTATTTTCTTTTTTTCTAAGCATTTCTGATCATCCTGAACACCTATACTAGATAGCCCAATCATAGCTGTTGTTTTCACCAATCAAACTACACTCCTACCTTTGTGATGAATTTCTTTTAGTGTTAGAATCTGTTTACAGTGTATTAAAATATCGAAGCTAAACAATAAATGTTTGCAGGAACGCCTGAGGAGGCTAAACCACAATGTGGCCAAAGAGACGGCTCGGAGGAAGACCATGCTTGAAGCATCAGGGGTTTTCACTCCCCGCTCACCCAGTAGACCATGAGCCTTTTCCCTGCGGACTCCAGTGGGGCGCCATTACCTCTGGATTGTTCAGATTTGTGTTTACTCCTAAACTTTGTCCATGTCTTGCATTGCTTTTAAAATGTGCACATTTGAAATCAACCTTGATATGATCCATAGCAGTTATTTAAAAGCCTTAATATTTCTCATAATATTTTAAAAATGGTTCCTATTATGGTGTCATTATTTCTTCCAATAGATGAAAATATATTTGCGATGGCTGTAAGGTTTGGTGCATTTTGATCATGATGAAACTTTGTTCTGTATGATTTAGATTTGATCAGACTTTTGGAGTTTTTATGGCAATATTGAGTTTAATTAACCTGTATGGTTTCTATTGTAACGTTTTTTTTCACAGTGGATAGAATTATGAACTTTAAACAGATTACTTAAAATCATCATCATATAAAATGCATGAAATGAATTAAATTCTACTATTGCTATAAGGTCATCAATAAAAAGGCAGTTAAGCTGTATTTATAATATATGCTGAACTAAATGGAAATGTTTGAAAGGTTAAATATACTGAAAATTAGCGGTTTTATCTGTAGTCTGTTACCATCTAAACTACAATAAAGAAAACTAACTGAGAAATGTGAACATATCGACTCTTTAACAGCCCGATGATCACAAGCAGAAGTTTCTATGAGCGATAATCCACCTTGGTACACAGAATCCATTAAGGTTTAAATAACCTGGTGTTTTAGATTGGGAAACATTAAGAATAGTGAAATGAAAAGGTTAAAGTGCTGCTTTAAGGCTGCTCTGAAATTCTTGATAATTTTACCGATACGATATTTCTTTAGCAGATGCATCATGTTGGCATATGTTTATAAAAACAGTTTGAGTGAGTGAGTCAGTTAGAAACGTGAAACTACTCGTGCACCGATGCAGTGTTTTGCTATCTGCCATCACTACTAATCACATTCTTTATTTAACTGGTAAGAAAAATGCTGATAAATGTGAGGGATGTGGAGGGAAAGAAAAGGAGTCTGAAAGGATTGTTGGGAATGAAAGGAAGCATAAAGGACATTTATTCAGTAAGGAAAGCATTATTTGTTTTTCTTCATAATACAAAATAAAAAGAACATTGGGCATGTGAGTCTATGGTGGCTATGTGCACCTTAAAGTTGCTTGCCATCCGCCATAATAGAAAAGAAGAATACAGACAGTTGGCGGACAAAAATAATATTTTTGAGTTTAACATTAAAAAAAGTAAAAATGAGATAAATAATATTTGTACAATGTATGTCAAGAAGAAATGGCAAGAACAACGAGAAAGGAGGGAATGCTAGGCTTTATTATAGTATTTATTTATTTATTTTCCGGGGTCCTGTCTGGCAATGTGGCAATAAGAATAATTATCTTGATGCCAAAAAGTGGAGCAGTATGGCTATCACCATAGTGTTCTGCTTGATTCATGCAAATAAATTGCTTTATTATAATTATGCGGGGAGTAATACAGGTTATATGGACACTGCAATGTAAGTAGAACAGGAAAAACAAAAAACAGAAAAAAGGAGAAAAGATGAAAGAAGGAGATAAAAGGGAGATAATGATAAAACATTTTCAGTCTGCTTCATCTTCTGCAAAGAGATGAAAAAAGAACAGCACAACCAACAGACATGGTAGGAGACATACAATAAATTAACACCTAGATACTACCGCTGAAGTAGTATTATTTAATCTGACATGTACTCTGTGTTACCTGAAGATAAGAATATGGGCTTTCTGTGTGGAAGTTAATCTCTGAGTACCTGGAAACATTATTATAGTATTTAAAAAAGGATTGGAAAATCAAGCAGTTGTAATAGAATAAAAGAAGAAGATTTTATATTAAAAATAAGATTCGGACATAAAGGATTAAATTGTACTCTTAAAATGATTAATAAGCATAAGCCCATGGTGTTGTAATTATTGTGAAAAATTAAAAAGAGTCAAATTTTTTTAGAATGTAATAAATATGCTCAGGAAAGAGGGGTGTTATGTAGGGAGTTAGGTAGGTACAAAAATAAATCCTCCTGTCTGGAAGGTGGCGGTAATGCGCCTATAAGCTGTTTGCCAACCGCCTTAAAAAATAAAAATAATGATTTTTCTTTTTTCTGGGGATGAACCTTGTTTAACTCCTTATCAGTTGGTGGCGCTAATGCGCTTTTAACTAGTTTGCCAACCACCATAAAACCTTCCAAGAAGAAGAAAAAAAAAAAAAAGAAGAAGAAGACAGACGGCTGCGACCCTGATATCAGGGCTAACAGAGAGAGCCCCTCCAGCAGTCCTGCCTTTGTCAACATTTAGCTAAGGAGGCCGGAAAGCAGACAGGATGGACTCCTGGGTTCGGTTCAACTCCCAGAGTCAGGCCAAGGAGAAAGTTTTCAGGTAACAGTTGATAGCCGCTAGGCTGCTGCAGTCTATGTTCAGCTGTTCTATGTTTAGAAGTTCTATGGTTCTGCTTGTTCTATGGTTCTGCTAGTTCTATGTTCAGCTTTTATATGGTATTGCTAGTTCTATTTTCAGCTGTTCTATGTTTAGAAGTTCTATGGTTCTGCTAGTTCTATGTTCAGCTGTTCTATGTTTAGAAGTTCTATGGTTCTGCTAGTTCTATGTCCAGCTTTTATATGGTTCTGCTATTTCTATTTTCAGCTGTTCTATGGTTCTGCCAGTTCTATTTTCAGCTGTTCTATGTTTAGAAGTTCTATGGTTCTGCTAGTTCTATGTTCAGCTGTTCTATGTTTAGAAGTTCTATGGTTCTGCTAGTTCTATGTTCAGCTGTTCTATGTTTAGAAGTTCTATGGTTCTGCTAGTTCTATGTTCAGCTGTTCTATGTTTAGAAGTTCTATGGTTCTGTTAGTTCTATTTTCAGCTGTTCTATGGTTCTGCTAGTTCTATGTCCAGCTGTTCTATGGTTCTGCTAGTTCTATGTCCAGCTGTTCTATGTCCAGCTGTTCTATGTCCAGCTGTTCTATGGTTCTGCTAGTTCTATCTCCAGCTGTTCTATGTCCAGCTGTTCTATGTCCAGCTGTTCTATGTCCAGCTGTTCTATGGTTCTGCTAGTTCTATGTCCAGCTGTTCTATGTCCAGCTGTTCTATGTCCAGCTGTTCTATGTCCAGCTGTTCTATGGTTCTGCTAGTTCTATGTCCAGCTGTTCTGTGGTTCTGCTAGTTCTATGTCCAGCTGTTCTATGTCCAGCTGTTCTATGTCCAGCTGTTCTATATCCAGCTGTTCTGTGGTTCTGCTAGTTCTATGTCCAGCTGTTCTATGGTTCTGCTAGTTCTATGTCCAGCTGTTCTATGTCCAGCTGTTCTATGTCCAGCTGTTCTGTGGTTCTGCTAGTTCTATGTCCAGCTGTTCTATGTCCAGCTGTTCTATGTCCAGCTGTTCTGTGGTTCTGCTAGTTCTATGTCCAGCTGTTCTATGTCCAGCTGTTCTATGTCCAGCTGTTCTATGGTTCTGCTAGTTCTATGTCCAGCTGTTCTATGGTTCTGCTAGTTCTATGTCCAGCTGTTCTATGTCCAGCTGTTCTATGTCCAGCTGTTCTATGTCCAGCTGTTCTGTGGTTCTGCTAGTTCTATGTCCAGCTGTTCTATGTCCAGCTGTTCTATGTCCAGCTGTTCTGTGGTTCTGCTAGTTCTATGTCCAGCTGTTCTATGTCCAGCTGTTCTATGTCCAGCTGTTCTATGTCCAGCTGTTCTGTGGTTCTGCTAGTTCTATGTCCAGCTGTTCTATGGTTCTGCTAGTTCTATGTCCAGCTGTTCTATGTCCAGCTGTTCTATGTCCAGCTGTTCTGTGGTTCTGCTAGTTCTATGTCCAGCTGTTCTATGTCCAGCTGTTCTATGTCCAGCTGTTCTGTGGTTCTGCTAGTTCTATGTCCAGCTGTTCTATGTCCAGCTGTTCTATGTCCAGCTGTTCTGTGGTTCTGCTAGTTCTATGTCCAGCTGTTCTATGTCCAGCTGTTCTATGTCCAGCTGTTCTATGTCCAGCTGTTCTATGGTTCTGCTAGTTCTATGTCCAGCTGTTCTATGGTTCTGCTAGTTCTATGTCCAGCTGTTCTATGTCCAGCTGTTCTATGTCCAGCTGTTCTATGTCCAGCTGTTCTGTGGTTCTGCTAGTTTTCTACTGAGACCCAGCTTCTCTTGGTTTCCAGAGCTGCTCAGTACTCCTGCATGCTGTTGGGCTCCACTCTGACCAAAAGCAGGGCTGCCTCTGACCTCCAAAGGATAGTCAGTGACCTGGAAGCTCACATGAGCCTCACTAGAAAGCGTAAGTGAAGCAATCCAGGGAGATTTCTTCCTAGAAGTCTGTCACTGATGTGCCTGATGTCCTACAGTGCTGCGTCTGGGGAACTCCGTAGAGGCTCTGCAGGCGGCTAAGAGAGCCATCCACCTTTCTGACGGTGTGCTGAGGCTCTGCATCACCATCGCCCACCTCAACAGGGCAATGTACTTCGCCTGTGACAATGTGCTGTGGGCAGGAAAAACAGGCATCATCTCCAAACTGGATCATCACAAATGGAGTCAGAGGTCTTTCAGGCAAGTCCCATTTATTATTACCTGTGCTTTAACGTTTACGGTGGATTCTTCAGGTGCGCTGTCATAAGGTGTTTAGAATGTCTGTGCTCTCAATGACTTTAAAATAAACCCCCCCATTAAATAATGAAACTTTCTGAAGGCATCAAAACTATGAATTAACACGTGGAATTATATACTTAACAAGAAAATGTGAATCAGCTGAAAATATGTCTGATATTCTAGGTTCTTCAAAGTAGCCACCTTTAGCTTTCATTACTGCTTCGCTCACTCTTGGCATTCTATTGATGAGCTTCCAGAGATGCTTAGCACTTGTCGGCCATTTAGCCTTCACTCTGCGGTCCAGCTCCCCCCAAACCATCTGGACTGGGTTCAGGTCCGGTGATTGTGGAGGGCAGGTCATCTGCTGCAGCAACTGAACCCAACCTGGTGACGGCGTCGGGTTCAGTTGCTCCGTCCCCCGCTGGCTCCCTGCCCCCTTCCATCAGGGACCAGCCCCGGAGCTGACGGCTCAGCTCAAAAGCCGGTGTGTTTTAACTACATGCTGCACTGTAGTCGACTAAAATCCTGGAAGATTCTGAAATTCTCCCCCGGACATTTTTTTAGGTAGGAAAAGTAGGACATGTCCGGGAAAAAAAGGACGTCTGGTCGCCCTACCATACCAACAATTCGATGTTTCAGTGAGTGAGTGCTTGTTGCTATGATGCATCTTTGCTCAGCAGCTTCACTCGTTGTAAACCAACCAATCAGTGCACAGCTCATCTAAATATTCCTGATCATACCATAAAAGGAAGAAAACCTGTGGTTTCATTCTAGGGCTTTTAACCAGGCTGCATTAGGGCTCATAGAACGGCTAAGATGCCATTTTCAGCCCAACCAATGTTACACACCCTATTAGAGACCTGAAGGACCAGACACCCTATAGAATCATTCTATCACCCCTTTAAGGCTGCACTGAAGGATTGTCTATTTATTCACCTCCATGGATCGTGGTGGACTTAAAGCAGGTTGTGACCAATGCCAGGGACAGTCAGGCGATAAATACATCCATCTGCCGACACCTCATACAGCTGGTCTCTCATATTTAGCAGATTCTGTGAAGACTTACCAGTCTGCAGATTGAAAACGGTTGTGGATGAGAGCGGCTACATCCCTGGGACACACAGTGACTGTTTTCTAGCTGGCATAGTCCGTCTTATCAGCTGTCGATATGCTAGTTTACACACATTAATCACAATTGACTGACAGCATATTATAACAGTAAAAACATGATCTTGTTATAAAAGGTTCCTCTCATTGATTCTTTCATATTGGTAGACAATCTGAACCAACATGCCACTATGTCTCCCCTTCTAAATGCAACAGAACATCATAGGGCCGGATCTATCAAAGGTTTGCGTGTATATAAACGTGAGCTATTTCACTGCGCACGCTAAAAAATGTACAAACTGATCTATCAACAGCGTGCTAAAAGGATTTGGTCTTTAAAACGTCCTAAATAGCGCCTCTTATCCATTTAATACTTTTTCTGCAATGAATATGCAATATGGGGCGTTTACACGCAAAAGTGCGTCTTGTGGGAGGAGAACATGTAAATATATTAATTTAGCACTCGCAAAGTGATTTATCAAACCTGAAAGCAATTTTGCTAACGGTATCTGACTCTATATTTAACACGTTTCAAAAGAAGGTGCAAATGGTCTGTATGCGTAATTGCGCACACATGGCAGCGGTTATTGTCGCAAGAAGGAGACATGGAAATGAAGCAAGGAGACGCAGAGAACGCATTTTTTCACTCCGTGTGAATATTTTTGGAATGAACGAGGAAACGATCATCAAAACATAGTTTATGCAGCATTGCCATTTTGGAGCTGTTGGTGGAACTCCGAATGGATTTGGAGCCAGCCACAAGGAGGACCCACGCAATACCAGATATCACTAAACTCCTTGCAACGTTGCACTTTTTTGCATCTGGGTCATTCCAGCGTACGGTTGCAGCGAGAGCTGGGATCTCCCAATCTCGTTTTTCAGAAGTGCTGTCCGAAGTGCTGTCCGACGGGGTCGGGGTTCTCCCCCTGCGCCTGTGGAGCAACGTGCCAAATGCTGTGGGTATACGTACGCGCAGCACACATATTCAGCCACATACCACCTTAGGGAATAAAGGTTGCCAAAGTTTTTTCTATATATATATATATATATATATATATATATATATATATATATATATATATATATATATATATATATATATATATATATATAATTTTTTGTTTTGTTGGGGGTCACTGTAAGATTTACATTTCTTAATGCACTAGTTTGTACAAACTACTTTGCCGCAAACCACAAAACGCGCAAAACCATCATTTAAATAGGGCGTCTCCAACAGTTTTGCGCCTGCCACCAGTTACACAATCACTCTTGTTAAATCACCCGCAAACCATGGTTCAGCCCCTCGTGCAAAATTCCAGTTTGCGAGCGCAAATTACTGCACGCAAAATTGGATCTTGATAAATCCGGCCCATAGAATGCAAATCTGCTTGAAAGCTGCTTAAACTGAAAAGTTGTTTTTCTGCAGCTGTTTGCAGTTAATATATAGCCTTAGCTTTTGGTCTGTGGGACTTACGTTCTTATAGGATTGATAAATAATAATAAAAATGTGTCTTCCACTTGACAGGTATTACCTATTTGCTCTGATCCTCAATGTCACTCGAAATGTGTATGAGGTCTGCCTTCTCCTGGACGGCGAGGATCGCTGCAGAAGCACCAAATCCTCCAGTCCCAGCGATGTCCTTCCTGATGACCGCCTCTCATCGTCATCGGCCGTTCCAGCCACTTCTCCTCCTGCTCTGATGTTTGCACGGCTTTGCAGACTTATGGGTCAAGTGGGAGCTGTCCTGTACAACAACCCGCCTCTCCTATTGGACCTGCTGAAGAACAGCTGTGATATTTTCATTCCGCTGGACAAGCTGGGGCTTTATCGGACAGGCCCCGCCTTTGTGGGGACTTGTGGGTTGCTTTCATCTGTCCTCTCCATCGTCACCATGCTCCACCCATGGCTGAAACTGAAACCATAAACCCTGATGAACAGAAAACGGGTTCTGCTGTTACAGTGGCATACTATGGTATGATAGCCCACCTTAGGTTGGATAGAACCAAATATAAATCCCATCACTGCATCCATCAGAGGGTAATTACCTAAAAAATGGCGCTAAAACTGTGAGCACATTCTTATACAGATTCATATGGTTATTTTTTATTTTATTTTACATTTTCTTTAACTCTAGACCAAAAATTTAACAGATATGTAAAATTTCTTCCCAAACTGTACCGCCCTGTCCATGCACAGAGAGAGGATTGCAATCTGGAGTTTTGGTTATTGATCCCTATGGAGAGAAAGTAACTTGTTCTTAATAAAGATCCGTTTGTTTGGTTAAAAGGTGTATTTTAAGAAGAAACATGGACTGCAAAGGAAAATCTATTCATTGAATATATTTCATTTTTGGCTCAACACTGTTTAGTGCACAAGTTGATTTTAAAATGAGGCATTAAATAAAGGGATTTGAAAGTAATGTTAACTTTAATGTGTTGTAACGGCCTCTTATGCTGATATTACAGGAACTAGGGGCCGGGATGTGGCCATTTTGGATTTCTGTTTAGTTTTATTTTGTAGACAGAATGTTTTTAATTTAGTTTGAAACCAAGTTTGTGTGAGGACAGGAGGCAGTAAAAGATTTTTTAACTTAACTTTAACTTTAACCAACATTTTCCTGAAGGCCGTGAGTGGCACCAGGTGGCGTTTCATATACGCACGTCTGACTTAGAAAGATATGTCCTTTATTTACAGCAAAAAAATCAAATCTTTTATGAAAGCTGCAACAGCAGATTAATTAACTTTCATTTTTATTTAAGTTGCAAGATGTTTTTGGTTGTATTATTTCTGTCTTGTATTTTTTGCTGGAAATAAACATATTTTTCTAAATCAGAGGTGTGTATATGAAACACCATCTGTTGCCGATTTTGTGGAAATGTAACTATGCATCTGATTGCTTGTTGTTGGGGTTTAACAAGTTGCTGAATTATCATCCTTACAAGGTTCACTGTCCATTCATGTTTATTAAAAAATGCAATGATGAAAACTTTAGTGGTACTCAAACTCTTCCTGTTCCTTAGAGGTAATTTCTTCAGGTTAGTCCTTCCAAAGAAAAACTACAGATGGTTCAGAGTAAAAAAAAAAAAAAAACTTAAAAAAAGAACTGTTATGTAACATCTTATGGTCATAAAAAGTTTTTTAATATTTTTCTTTTAGATGCAAGTAATGATCAGATTGTTGGGTAATTTCTCAGTGAAACAGGCTAAACTTTCTCTTAGGCTTCAAACAAGATGTTTTATCAATAAAAAAAAAACATTCCTATCAACAACACATTTAGGCTGTAGTTAAAGAGCCTTGACGAATGGGCAATTTATGGAATATTGGAACTGAAAAAGTTTTTCAGAATGTTTATTTTAATTAAATAGAATTTTGGGAAAATCTCAAACTTCTGAATCATGGAAATAAACTACTGGGTTTTAATAAAACTTGCAAAGCTGTATATGATGTCTGTTTCATCTACTTTATAAAGGTTAGACCAGATTGTAGCTTAAAGAGTCATGAGCATCAAGTATTGGTCCAGGTTCCAGGTATTAGACCTGCACAGCAAGTCTGAAGTCATTGGTTATGATAATAATTATTTTTGCTCGTAGATCAACATGTTTAGAGTCAACATGAATATTGCTCTTTACACATTAGTACCGCAGAAACTCACCTCCCTGGTCGTTTAAGAAAAATCAAACTTCCGGCTTGAAAATCCCAACATTTCATATACGTCTACAGAAAAACCAACAACCTTAGATGAAAAGACAAATGGAGTTATTTTGCTTATGAGACGGATGAATATGAAAAGCTGGATTTTGAAAACGAAGCTACGTGTGCTAGCACTACAACGGTTTTAAAACATCACCTAACAACTCTCTGCAATATAGACACTGGAAATATGCCATTTTGCAAACTTTCTTTTAGTGCCTTAACAACGTACCGAATTGGATTTTGTGTCCGATCTGAGAGAAAATCGTGTCAGATTAGGTTGTAGCGTTTAGCGCTCATTGATGGAGATAATTACACCATAGACCCCGTATCATCGGGTGGGAGGCGTGCCGACAGGGCGGTCCTCTTAGGTCAGACCAGGCTGCTGTCAGAGACCATATGTGTCAATTGATATCCTACTTTAGACACTCTGACTCCGGTCAACGCTTAAAGGTACACTATGCAACCGGTGTTGATTTTCCAGCGAGGCTCCCCCCAGAGGGCGAAAGTAAAAGTGCACTGTCGTAAATATGCACAGCTGTTCTCCTGGTTTCTCCGTCAAGCCAGGCGCGGTTGTTTTGAGCTTAGCAGACAGGCGAACACAACGAATGACTAACACAGTGAAAGTATGAACATGCACACAGAGAGAGAGAAACCATTCCAATGTTACTTACAATCGCATCAGCAGAAACGCGAGGTCCGCGTCAGCCTTGCAGCCTTCTTTTTCTTTTAGCTCTCGCCATTCTGAAAAAGTTTGCCCGAGGTTCACCCGTGTACGACTCCTCTCTCTGTCCGGAGCCCTTTTCCTCTTTCTTCCCTGCCACGACATGGGCTTTCGCTGTTTTCACGCTGGTTCCGCCATGATAACTGCACAAAGATCGCCACTGTGCTAGCAACGAGCATGCTTTTAACCAGGGGCGTGTAGCAGTTCTCGCCGTAAAGCAAGACCGACTCTCGCGAGACTTCTGAGCCTGTGGGTGCGGGCCGAGGGCTCCTGCAATTGCAAGTGCGGTATTTCCCCCACAGACCACCAGGGCGGCCGAGAATACCTTTGTTCGACCTGAAATGACTCATTTAATCATCCAAAACGTTATGGAACACATTAATTAACTGAAAAATGTTGCATAGTGTGCCTTTAACCCAGCGATGTCTAAAGGTGGTCCTTGAGGGTCGCTGGCCTGCGGGTTTTAGGTTTCCCTGCTTCAGCACAGCTGATTTCCATTGATAGTTGATTAACAGGCTTTTGCTGACTTGCAATCATCAGAATCAGCTGTGTTGAATCTGAGAAATCTCTAAAACCTGCAGGACAGCGGCTCTGGAGGACCGACTATGGACATGCCTGTCCTAACTGATCTCCAGATAAATTGTCCAACTGAAATGGAGAATGTTTCGCAGGCTACACTGGGCAAACTGATTGATCTGAATTTCTGTTTTAATACATAATTTAAATTTTTTATTGATAGTTAGCAAACTTCCAGAGCTTCCTCTCAGGATGTCTAACTTTATTTCTAAGAATTTGCTCCTTGTTTACTGCTGCTCAGGGGTCAGAGCAGATTTAAATTCATAGGGGTTTTGCCATAAAAAATATAGAACCTGCATAATTGCCTTATAATGCCATGGCAATCTAGACCTAAATTTAATGAATATTTTAACTAAAATTTTGAAATATTCAAATAGAAACAAGAACTATGAGAGACAAATATTTAAATACCTATGTACCTTTTCATCTGGGTCTTTATACAAAAAAATAAACGGTATGCAATGAAATATTTTCTTTGGATATAATTTATGGATTCCTTTTTGTAGAAATTAAAGAAGGTTTTATATAACCTCTTATGAGCTGGAAGAAAACAAATCTTGATAGTGAGACAAAAGGATGGCAGGGGATGATCAGCCGCATGAAGTTCATTAAGTAGCAAGGACAGGAACTGCCATACTGCTGAGAGAGAACCATCAGTGTGGAGCACGCACAAATATGCATCTCTGCACAAGCACAGCTGGAAGAGCAGAGTTTGTCAAGAGTTGAGAACACAGTACCGGACCATTCCAGGTCATTTTCTCACCTGCCGCTCCAGCCATGGTCCATCTGAGGTCATTTAGAATGTGCACCGCTGCACGCCATGACCTGTTTGGTCATGCCGCCCAAATGCACCAGCATGACTCATTTTAAACTTCTGACAGACCACCCGCTAACTGTTTATTTTAGTGTCGTCCCAACGAAAACTCACACTCATGACTTGTCATCATCAAAGATCCATATTTAGCCTGTCGGTTTTCATGAAGTTTTTGTTGACGAAAACGACACTGCTTCCTTACATTCATGCTCTCCATTGTTTACCATTTTGACTTCTGTCGCACTGGTGGCTTCATCAATCCAAACCCAGCGTGATGGCGTCACCAGACATGCAGCCATGGGGACAGAGAGCATGCATCACGCCAGCAGGGGTTAGACACGGAGCCAAATGCCGATTGTTCGCGGGTTGACCCGGTATTTTCAGTGATAAAAAGGCTTGATCAACACTTGTTCACTGGTTTAGGATGGTTTTGATTTAGGTTACCTGCCTTCATTGCACAGTTTGTACCCACAATCTTCTCCAAGCTGTTCATGCGTTCTTTTTTATTTACATGCCTGGGTGGTGTAACCTAAGAACTCGAAACCAGGGGCGGAGAAGGGGGTGGGTAAAGGTGGCCATGGCCATCCTTAGCCAATCATTGGCCATCACTGTGGCTACTCCATCCAACGATTTGTTGTTTTCTTGGATGTAACTCCTGAACAAGCAGTTCCCCTCTAAAACAATGTGGCAGCATTGACAGGGTACCTGAGGGGGTTTATAGGCTCGTCAGATAGCGTTCCCCCCCTCTTTAACATGGGGGGAACGCTATCTGATGGGGTTTATAGGCCCGTCAGATAGCGTTCCCCCCTGATGTCATTTCAATGAGTTGCAATAAATGCTAAACTCTCTGCAGGTTCTTGTCTTTGTCGTCCGCTCTATTCAGCTGGCTTTGGAAACACACGGCGAGAAGGTGGGGGCTGGGTGGTGAGGGTTATGGGGGCGAGAAACGCAAAAGTAACACAATAGTTACTTTTACTAGTAACTAGTAACTTTTATTGTGGAGTAACTCAGTTAGTAACTTAGTTACTTTTTGGGAGAAGTAACTGGTAACTATAACTAATTACTTTTTCAAAGTAATGTTCCCAACACTGGTGGTGCAAGTCTATGGGTGCATTTCTAGAAAGCGTATAGATTTAAAAAACCAGATCACTTTCCCTCTGATTTGCAGTCGATCATTGAAGGGCACAGAGAGGAACAGATCACTTTGAGCAGTGGTTGCTGGCCAATAGGGCGCTGCCCCACTCACCAGATGACCTTGATTAAGACATTTAAAAAAGAACAAAAATGTAATTCTAAAATTAAAATATTTTGGTATATGGTAATATATTTTTTAGATGTACAAGATAAATATTTAATCTTTAATGACGAGTAAAGCTGTTTCGTTCGTCATCGTATTGGTGACGTATGACCTCCCTGTCCTGCAAAAGTCTTTGGCCATAGACTGGTTAAAAGTTGTCCATGTGCAGCAACTCCTCTGCAATGCAAAGATAGAACCATCCTGAGGCGCAGCTCTCCTGTGTCCAGAGCTAAAACAACTTTATTTGCACACCACGTCACAGTCGTCTGTTAGAAAGTTTATAGAGTTATTTAACGAAAAGCTTGGTAAACTGCATTCAGCTAGGCTAATGCTTTATTCTGCTTTCGATGCCTCCTTTTTCAAACATTATCATCTGACTCAGCATGGATTAAGACAGGTAGAACTGATTTAAAGCACAGATATTTTTTAATGTATTTTTTTTTTACATTTATGTAAATATACTGGTGTGAGATACCTTGGTATGTTTTTTTTAACATTTGAAAAGCAAAGACAAATAAAAAAGGGTATGACTGAACTTCATTTGAATGGCACAATTACTGATGACCCCAAAATGATTGCCAACTTATGTTAAACCTTTTATAAATTGTAGTGACTATTTGTACACAACTAAAATAAAAAAACTGAAGATGTGATCAAAGCAAAAGTTGAATTCAACTCAAATATCCACTTGATGCAGCATGGATCTTGGCGTTCCAAAAAAATCAAAAAGGGTCAAAATCCAGTTCTTTGCTTACTTTATTCTCCGTACAAACAGCTAACAAGCTTCACAGAATCCTTCTATTGCTCTCACTCTGATTCCTGTAATTGTTATGTTATTGACTGCCACCTTATCGTGGTGGAGAGGTTTGAGTGTCCCAATGATCCTGGGAGCTATGCTGTCTGGGGCTTTATGCCCCTGGTAGGGTCACCCAAGGCAGACAGGTCCTAGGTGAGGAACCAGACAAAGCGCAGCCCAAAGACCCTTATGATGAGTACAATAATTGGATCCAGCGTTCCCTCGCCCGGACGCGGGTCACCGGGGCCCCACTCTGGAGCCAGGCCTGGAGGGGGGGCACGATGGCGAGCGCCTGGTGGCCGGGCTTTTACCCATGGGGCCCGGCCGGGCTCAGCCCGAAGAGGAAACATGGGTCCCCCCTTACATTGGCCCACCACCCGTGAGAGGGGCCATAGGGGTCGGGTGCAATGTGTGTTGGGTG